ATTAAGAACAACATAAGACGTAAGAAACAAGAAAATAAAGGGCTATATGCAACAGAAGCACAAGAACTAAGAATTACAGACAACGACGTACTAAGAGTTAACACGTTATCGCGTATTCGAGCATTCGCTGCTTTTATAGTTCTTACGATATTCAGTGCCTGTCACAGCTTAATCGCTTTGACCTTTCTCACTGGCCGCAATTTTCTTAATTCGAGACTTCAAAACTGCGGGGAAATTTCTTCTATATTCTCTTGATCCCCCCAAAACAGGATTATTTATCATTGCCACAGGTCTGCAGCAAAGCTAAGTTTCTATGCCGAAGGTTTGAGGACTTGCTCGTCCTTTTTCGCTAAAACAAAACTTTATTAGTTTCTTAAGCCTGAGCAGTTAAACCAAAACAAAATCGCTGTAACAACCGTAACCTCTTTAACATCAGAATAGAAAGTTCACCTGGCAGTAAGATAACACTAAAAAATGAATTAGTTTCACGCGAAAGTGCCGGACAAAAAGTCAAAAAAGAATGGGTGACAACGACTGCAACGAACTAGTCGCTTTTTCCACACTAATTCGCAGTCCTGAGTTATAATAAACACAACAATTACGAGCAAAATGTTTTTAAATTAGCTGAGAAGACTACTCAGATTGGTTCGTCCCAGATAAATTGTATTAAAAACTACAGAAGTGGCATGAGTAAAGAAAAGTGTAATTTTCTGCATTGATTCAATGACGCGATACTACTTGTAAAATTTGTAAAACCACACTGTGAACAACAAACATATAATCCAACTATAATTGTTACTACAACAATTATAACCGAGAAACAAATTATTTAACTACTAATTGCCCGATCTAAGTAAACAAATCCACTTAATCTACACCGTAAAAAAAAAAGAAAAAATATGAGATTTGCAAACTGTATGATCAAAACGGAAGGTGATCTGCACTACAGATCTTACAAAAACCGTCCCTGTGCAATTTCAGATTGTTTTCACTCAGCTCGCCCTTAGTCGCACATGAAATCTTCAAAAGATAGCAAGCCGTTTACCCTCAGTCCCTACAATGCATCCATTCCTTTTCAATCTAGTCCCAAAAAGTACAGCGCCCAGTTATCCTCCAGAAATTATTGTGAATGCTGTGCCGAAAGCACTGGTACTGATGCCTCCGCCTTTTTGGAAATTGCTTGCTGTACTACGCGATAAACTGCAAAGTGCAAGAACTACCTTAAAGTAACCGATCCTTAAAAAGGCTAAATATCTATTCTACATTTCCAACCTCATCTTCTTATTTTTTCTCATAATATTTACCAGAAATATTGACCTTTTTTATACACTGTACTGATATAATACTCCTTACCTTCAACTAAAGTGAGAACGGAATAAAAGCATCAAAATATTTGTCTTTCTAAACAACCACGTCTGGTAGAACTCTAGGATGACTACTTCCGTCGTCTCTTGTTGAAACAATTAAATCTTACTCAACGCTCAAACTGGACTTTATATTTCAGTTGTCAGTCTTCTGTAATAAAGACTTGTTAATTCCCTGGGTCATGTTAATTTTTCCTACTCCAACTGTAGCGGCCAAATCATTATTTTTTTTACAAACATTAATGCTTTCAA